GAGCCACGCCATGGGAAAATCGGAAACGCAACTTAACGCGGGCCACTCATCGCATGGCCCCTGCTTCCTCCGCGCACCTATACCCAAGTTGATCTGGGCACGGCGCCGCGTTCGGCTCAGCGGAGAAATGCTCGGGGGCTATTTCAAAAAGTTGGCCGTTTGTCAGGCTGGAGTGCTCATGTCGGAGGCGTTGCTTTCCGTGTGCGACCACGCGAGGGCGCAGCTGCTGCGCGAACAGTTGAAGCTGTCTGCGCTGCGGGACGCGGCGCGGCGTTACCAAGACATCGTGTGCGCCAGCGCTCGCGCGTTGAAGTTCGTGGCCGACGACCGCGATGCCTACGTTTACTATCGGGTCGGCGAGGAGCTCGATCTGGATTGGGACTTCAGCGACCCAGAAACGACTTGTGACTTGTCCCGCCGGCTCGACCGTGTTGCTTCCGTCTTCCACAGTCAACCTTGCCAGACGTTCAGCGGCGCCGCGTTCGCTTGCACCAGCAAAGAACTCGAACGGGCAGTGCTCTGGCTCCGCAATCTTTCCGGCTCCGTCTGCGAAGACGACGTGCGTGACTGTGCCGACCTGCTAGAGGCCGCTGGGGCGGTAGTCGAATACCAGTTTCGCTTCGGCATTTCCATGCGTGTCACTGCGGTCTGCGCGGATGGCTCTGCGCTGAGAAGCCTCGCTTCGAGATTGCGCGAATTTGCTGACGCGCTTCGCTGATTCGATCGCAGCACTCACCCAAGATCCCTAACACCTCGCCGAGAAGAAATGGTATTATGGAAAAATAATGGCTTCCTACCATGAGTTCGTCCGATTCTGCCAGGGGCGCGCTTGCGAGAAGGGGGGGCTTTACGCGATCCAGCCCGTCGGCCTTGCAGGCGAGCCGATAAAGATCGGCTACGCTCATAACCTCCTGCAACGGTTGGCCGCGTGGCATTACGCGTATCCGCAGGGCATCAAGATCCTCGCTGTCGCGCGGATGAACCGGCCCAACGACACACACATCGGCAAGAGGCGCGTCCTGCAGCTCGCTGAGGCGGCCTTGAAATACGAGCTGAGGGATTTTGTTTTCGCGCGCGACGAGTGGATGCACCCGAGCGCGAAGGGCAAGATACTCGAAACGATGCGGCGACTGCAGCGCTCGCTCAGCCCCAACCTGAGGGAACATTTCTACGCCTTTGAACAGGAGGCCGCCGCCCCGCCGTCGGCTGCCTCTTTGAAGCAGGGCCTGCTTGCAACCGCAATGATTCACCCTATTTTGAAGCCGTGCCACTCGCGCCGCAAGACAGTGCCTCCGAGGTGCGAGGACGACCCAGGCTGCGTTTGGGAGAAAGCTCGGCCGAGAGGCCGGTGCGTCGCACGGGAGAGTCCGCAGCTATAATAAATGGCGACGCCTTCCGAGTTCCGAAGCTTCTGCGCCCACATCGATTGCGGCCCTGGGTTATTTGCACTGGCATGCGCGGGCTACGTCCAGATCGGAAGTACGGGCAATCTCCGCCGACTATCCCTGCAACCCCGTCCGATCATCTGCGTTGCGCACGTCGCGCGGGTGCGGGATGGGGAGAGGATGCTGCGGCGGCTGCTGCGGGTGCAGGGCTGGCCTCTGGATCAAGAAGGGCGAGTCTACGCGGGCCCTCGAGCTGTTGCCTCGTGTGTGCGCCTCGTCCATCGTCTGCAGCGAGGGCATGGGTTCTATACAGCCACAGACATCAAACGCCTCGCGCCGGTCGCGCCGGTCGCGCCTGTCGCGCCTGCGGATTCGCCACTCCATGGATTGCATGGATTGCACGGACTGCACGAATTGCACGACCTGCCAGTGTTCCGTCGGGTTTTGGACAACGTCGCTGCAGATTCCCCACTGCACGGACTGCACGGATTCCACGGACTGCACGAATTGCACGACCTGCCAACGTTCCGTCGCGTCTTGAACGAAATCGGCACAGACTCCCCTCTGCACGGATTCCACGGATTCCACGGACTGCACGGCTTGCCATCGTTCCGTCGCGTCTTGAACGACATTGGTGCAGATTTCCCTCCGCACGGATTCCACGGATTCCACGGATTCCACGGATTCCACGGCTTGCCAACGTTCCGCCGCGTCATGAACGACATCGGCACAGACTCCCCAGACTCCCCGCTGCATGGATTCCACAGCGTGCCCACGTCGCCAACGTCGCCAACGTTCCGTCGCGTCATGAACGACATCGGCACAGACTCCACACTGCACGGATTGCCAGCGTCGCCAACGTCGCCAACGTCGCCAACGTTCCGACGAGTCTTGGACGACGCAGATTCGCCGGCATCGACTCTCCTCGACAGCCCATGATGTCCTCACACGTGCATTTCGATGGTGTCGCGTGCGAGAAGCTGTCCGCTGGGCGGCTGTATATCTCGGCGTACGAGTATCGGATGCCCGCGTACAGGTCTTCCACAATAGGCACCAGCCCCCTACTCAAGTTTCTGGTTCTCCAAATCAGCATTGTAGTCAACGACTGCAATGGATCGCTGAAAACAGCAACGCGGAAGCTTCAAGGAATGCGTTCGAGTTTGGAGTGGCCGGGAGTGGCCGAAGCACGCAGACAAATACAGCAGCACAAGCGGTCCTGCGCAGCCGGGGCACCCATGATTAACGGTTGTAAAGGAACGCATGCTCCTCCAAGCCGTTCCTCGCCGTTACATCAAATTGGGCACGTGCTTTGACGGCTGCAATGCATCCTCTGTTGTTCAAGCGCTGCCTTCCGTAAATGACAGGACGGAATGGCGGTTATTCAAGGGAATCAGCGCCTACCTTCCTCCGTAAATGACAGGACGGAATGGCGGTTATTCAAGGGAATCAGCGCCTACCTTCCTCCGTAAATGACAGGACGGAATGGCGGTTATTCAAGGGAATCAGCGCCTACCTTCCACAGAAGTATCTTGTGATGGATGTGGAAGTCGGGTAGCAGGCGCCCCCGCAGCAGCTGGTCAAATTTTGTTTGAAAGCGGTGTTTTTCTCGTGTAGGGCGAAAGGTAACTGCGCTCGGGTCGCCAAGCGAACGCCGACTACAGATTTCGCGTCCCACCTGGATAATTACAGCCCACATCAGAACCATGACGAGCGTCATGGTTGCAACCGCCTAGAAAAGCCCAATTTGATCATCAATCAATGACATCGACAGTTTTTGTTGCTCTTGTCCCCGAGTCCATCACGGACGAACAGCTCACTCGCCCTGTGAGGTGGGCACAGTGGGCACGGTGACCGTATAAGGGGTGCGCGCAGCTGCTGGCGATCCGGAAAAAGTCAGCCCGAGACAATCAGCGCCTGCTGCTCGCAAATCTTCAGCATTCGTTGGTCGAATTGCCTCCAAAGCAAACCAGATGGCTCAAAGTGTGCGAGTGAGGGTCAAGCGACGGGGACTACGGGGACTACAGCGTACCAGGCGCGCTTTGTTTTACGATGCATCTGATTATATTTGGAGGTCTGGATGGAAATTCTCGCCCTCTCCTCCTCGACGCTGGCTCAATCCCCCCGATGCGCTCAGATCGAGCGAAGGCGAGCAGCATCGGCTTCCGTTCCACAATCTCGCTCAGAAGTACACTCCCGAAGTAGATCGTGCCTCGGAGCGCAAGATCGACCTTATCGGCCGCCCTTCTTGATTCGTTTGCAAGCCCCACTTTCTAGGATGGCCCCCGTGCCCCAGCATGTGCAGAATCGCCCTGAGAACGTTCCCTGGGTGCCTTCTAGGTGTTCCTGGACCCAAACCTCATGAGGTTTACCCACCGCTTACAGCCGATTCCTGGACGCAGACTCGCCAGATAAGAGCACTCCGGCTGTCATTTTGTGGCAGTGTGGCTCTCATGTTGTGGGCCCGCTGCATCTTCAAAGTTGATTTTCAAGTGACGTTTGAAAGACATGGCATCGAGGGTGTAATGGCTGCAGAGTCTTTCCGCAACCACAAGAACACTTCCAGCCTTAATCGTAAGCGATCTGTTTCTTCATATATGGCGACAGATAACCGCGTCTGCTTTTCGCGTTGCCTTTTCCTCGGTTCGCGCTGGCACGACCATGTGGTGTCGATGGTGTCAATGGTGTCGATGGTGTCAATGGTGTCGATGGTGTCGATGGTGTCGATGGTGTCGATGGTGTCGATGGTGTCGATGGTGTCGATGGTGTATAATGTGCATGTTCGTCAGGCTAAGACAGGTGACTCCCAACTTGCAAGATTGTGTATGCCGTACGGTCGTTACCACGCCAGGCACAAGCGAAAACCACAACAACGATCAACATCGCTAGAGCCCACGCGAGACCCATTTGTATGTTCACAGACTTCTTTTTCAAAATGTTCGATCAAATAAATGAACACATCTGCTTACTTCAGTGTTGCTCTGCCTGGAGACACTACAGACGATCAGCTGTCCAAGTGTTATGAGTGGGGCAAACAGCATTGCGTGCATTGCAATTTGCTCCGGACATGTGATGACGAGTACTTGCTCATCGCACACAGGAATGATGAGAAAGACTTGAGGGCAAGACAAAGGCTAATGCTAACAAATTTGAGAAATTGGGGGATAGACACGGGTAAGCAGAAGGGATGGATCAAACTGTTAACACCAAGCGAATACGATACACTTTCGCGCGATGGCGCGCAAAAGCCATCAGGAGTCGAAGCAGAAGATCGACCAACACGGAGCGATGACTCGACGTCTGGACGTGAGCACACAACGGACGGTGAAGAGGGCAAGCGAGAGGAAGCAGCAACGAACATTGCAGACTCAAGCTTACAATGGGGGCTCCTGCGGCTACCAAGTAATCTGCTCTATAATGGAGGCGAAAGGTTTGCCGCCCTTCAAACAAAGATACCTGTTTGTTAGATGTTCTGTTCGATAACCCATCTCGGTAGAAAGTTTTGCCGATACCTTGAAAGGCGCTTGTTCCCTTGCGATGCACCTGGTCACTCAGCAAAAAGATGCATGACGGCTCGCGCTCAAGGGGCTGTGCGCTAGACGGGCGTGCACAACGACGCTATCCAAGCCCGCTCACGCTGTCGGGGTGCAACTCTTGATCAACGATCGCCTCCTCGTTCACATCGTCTTTCTCCCCTTTCTCCCAGACTACCCAAATTGCCGCAAGTCGTCTGAGGTCGCTGTCTGACGGCTCCGCAACCTGCAACTCGAACTCGCGTGTACTCGGTCGGTAGATGCTGCCGCTCTCGTATTGGAGGTAAAAGATGTATTTGCTCGCTTCGCAGATGGCGAACTGGACGCCGAGGAGATTGAGGTCTTTCAGCGCTTGCACTTTGGTGTGCTGCTGCACATAATCCCGGAAGGAGCGCAGCTCTTGCACATACATTGCCTCGCACACATCGCTACGGTCATATTCCTGTTGGCAAAACGACACAGTCACGATTATCTTAGTTATCTCGGTTATCTCGGTTATAATGCAACGGCGGTTTTGTGGCCAATGCCATCACGGTATCACGAGTACATGTGTTTGTCCTCCGCAACCATTGTCAAACCACCGCCGATTCGCGATGAAATTCAGACACCGTCGTGGGCCCAGTCCCACCACGCCAAAATCAACCAATTGCATCTCGATGTCTTTGAACTGGTTCTTCGTCGCTTCCGCCATGTCGAAGAGAATCTCTTTCATGCGGAAGCCCTGAGAAGGCATAGAATCACACAATACCGCCCCCCCATTCAAAGCGGCGGGGGTTCCAGGTACCTTTCAGGTAAATGATCTCTGCCCGCCTTGCCCCCGAATCCAGCAATCTTCCGAATTTGTTTCGAGACTTGGTCGATCGGATTATCTCCTTGCCACAAGTCGGCAAGAGTGTTGGCCTTCTTGGCGAACGAGATGACCCCGGCAATCAACTCAGACCGCCCGCGCCGAGGCGCCTTGGACCTTGTCTTCTGCGGCTCCACAATCTCGAAAAAAACCTTGCCGGACAAGCGCAAGAATATGATGTCAACATCCTTTTTGCTCTTTTCCGACACATGCCCGTTCTCCACCGTGAGCCATGGGACGTGTCCGAGCTCACACACATTTATCAACTTTTTCGACATAGTGTTTCTCAAGAACATCACGTTGAGAGACAAGTCCTCCAGCTTTTCTGCTTTGTAGTGCTTGGCGTAGTGTGCCAAGAAGATCTTCGTCGTAGGATCCAGATTGCGGACCATGTTCGTGATGCGAATGTGGAAGGCATTTTGCTTTGTCAATCTCTCGGCGATATCTGTTGCCTATTTTCCATGAAGGTGATGATGCGCTGCTTGCGGCTGTCAACGTCGTCCCATTCTGGTCCGGGAGCGAAATTCATGCCACGCTCAAGCACGTCTTCGGTTGATTCTTGGAGATGTCGGTCGCTCTTGGCAGCGATGCAATGCGTCTCCCATTTGTCGGACCTGATCGGTTCCTTACAAGTCGCGTTAGAGCATTGTTAATGGATCCGATTCCCGGCCCCGTGGCCACTTGTTTCTGTTTTCTCGTGCACAAGATCTTCTGGTGGCTTGCACGGGCCCGGCACCTTTGCGGTGTGGGCGTTTATATCGATGCACCTCTCCTAGTTGCTCTAGAGCGTGCTCGATTTCCTTTTTCATTTCGGACGGCATGCTGCCCGTCCTCTGTTTTTTTTTCCAGCGGTTGCGCCATGGCGATCTGCCCGAGAGTCGCGGGGCAACCGCTAGCTAGACTTGAGGTGCGTTTGCGTGCGAATTCATACGCATATGCTATTGATCTCAAACGGGATTGGTGACTGATTGTGAAAAAATAAAAAGTCATTATCGAGGGGCGCTGGCTTATACAGCTGGGCCCTCCAACAACCAGAAACAATCATAACGCACCAAGGGAGTTCACACGATCCGTTCCGTGTTTTCGTTGTTTTTCATTGCACAACACTCTGGGAAACCTTTCTTAACCTCTACATCTTACTCTTCAGCTTTCGAATGTTCTGGTAAGATTTTCAATGGATATTGTGTGCGGCGTACTGTTGGGATTTGGGGGATTCGCAGTTTGGACATTAACTTGATTCTTGTGAATTCCAACTCATGCGTTGCAATTTGCTTGCTTAATTGGTTTTTTTGAGTTGTCGTATTTCGCGGTTTGGACATCAATCCGATTCTTGCTAATTCCAGCTTATCTGTTAGAACATAGTTGGTTAATTTGGTTCTTCGAGTTTCAAGTTTCATGGTTTGAGCACTCTGTCACTTTCTTTGTGAGGGTGGCGCTCTTTCCATGTCGCCCAACCACCTTAACTTGCAAACATTCGGTGTATAGATTCGGTTTGAAAATATTTTCGAAAACATGTTTTTCATGGCTTGAGCACTATGTCACATTCCATGTTGCCCAAGCACGTTCACTTTCAAACATTCTGTGTATAGATTCGGTTTGAACATATTTCCGAAATTGTGTTTTCTCATGGTTTGAGCACTATGTCACTTTCCTTGTGAGGGTGGCGCTCTTTCCATGTTGTCCAACCACCTTAACTTTTGAACATACTATGTGTAGATCCGGTTTCAACATATTTTCGAAAACATGTTTTTCATGGTTTGAGCACTATGTCACTTTCCTTGTGAGGGTGGCGCTCTTTCCATGCTGTCCAATCACCTTAACTTTCAAACATTCTATGTATAGATTCGATTTGAAAATATGTTCGAATTATTTGTTCATGGTTTGAGCACGCTCTATGGGAGTCACTGTCCTTGCTGTCCAACCACCTTAACTTTCAAACATTCTCTGTATAGATTCGGTTTGAAACTATTATCGAAAAACTTTTTTTCATGTTTTGAACACTATGTCACTGTCCATGGTGTCCAATCACCCCAACTTTCAAACATTCTATGTATAGATTCGGTTTGAACATATGTTCGAACAAATTGTTGTTCATGGTTTGAGCACTATGTCACTTTCCTTGTGAGGGTGGCGCTCTTTCCATGCTGTCCAACCACCTTAACTCTCAAACATTCTATGTATATATTCGGGTTGACAATATGTTCGAAAAACATGTTTTTCATGGTTTGAGCACTGTGTCACTTTCCATGTTGTCCAATCACCTCAACTTTCAAACATTCTAAGTATATATTCGGTTTCAAAATATGTTCGAACAAGTTGTTTTTCATGGTTTGAGCACACTCTATGTGAGTCACTTTCCTTGTGAGGGTGGCGCTCTTTCCATGCTGTCCAACCACCTTAACTTTCAAACATTCTATATATAGATTCGGTTTGAACATATTTTCGAATTATTGTTTCATGGTTTAAGCACTATGTCACTGTTCATGCTGTCCAACCACCTTAACGTTCATGTGGCATCCTGATTTTTGGACACACCCCCCTAAACGCCCATGTGACACCCTGATTTTTAGACACATCCCCGTGAACGTCTTTGTGTGACACCCTGATTTTTTGACACATACACCCTGATTTTTAGCAGTGCCCTCTAGAACTTCCATGCGACACCCTAATTTTTGACATCGCCCTCTAAAACGTCCATGTGAGACCTTGATTTTGGACCCATCCCCTCAAACGTCGATGCGACACTCTAATTTTTGACAGTTTCCTCTTAAGGTTCTTAGGGTAGTACTCTCCAAAATGCCCATGAGACACTTTTTTTGCAGTAGCCTCTATAACGTCAACACGACACCCCATCTTTTGACAGAAGCCTCTAAAACGTCCGTACGACACTTTTTTTTGGCAGTAGCCTTTAACACGTCCATATGACTTGTTTTTTAAGTCAAATGTGGGGCAACCGCAAGCTAGACTTGAGATTCGTTTGCGTGCGAATTCATATGCATATGCAATTGATCTCAAACAGGATTGGTGACTGATTGTGAAAAAATAAAAAGTCATTATCGAGGGGCGCTGGCTTATACAGCTGGGCCCTCCAACAACAAGAAACAATCATAACGCACCAAGGGAATTCACACGATCCGTTCCATGACAAAAACAAATCGGGATGCGGGAAGGGGCGGGTGGAATATGCACTGACACGCAGAACCGTTGCTTGGTTACCCGAAGAAGGGTGGCGGCAGGACCTCGATCTAACATGCCATGGAGAAGGGTTACATCCATAATACTAACTAGAGAGATAGGGAGATTTGTTTTTCCACAGCACTAGTTGATCGTTTAACTTGCAGCCCTGAGCACCACACAGCGAAGCAATATAGGAATTTCACTTTTTCCAGCAGCCGCTGTCAAATGGCAGGATTAATTTGGAAAGACTCGCATAGGGGTCAGAATTCGGGGGTGAATTGGGACATGGTAAAAGAAGAAATGTAATGATGGGAACCGTTGACTTCATTCGTGCATCCGAGAATCTTGAGATAGGGTTGAGGGGGTGGCCAATAGGATTTTGCCAAGGGTATCCTTTTGAGGTGATGCGGAAGGGAACCATTAAGTTTTGTGTGGTGCCTCTGAGGCTTGTCCATGCGCGTCCCCATCTCAGCAATCCCGCGGTTGCATTGACGTGGGTCCGAAAGGTTCTCAGAGGTCCAAGGAAATATGATTTAAGAAGTGGTGGGGGGGGGGGGCAAGATGACCAGGTCTGTCTAGGAGCATGTCCACAGTCGCCGCTTTCCTCGATTCGAGACCCGCGGAGCTCCTCCCAGAGTCGGAATCGAGGTTAGCGATGGCATGTGTTTTTCAGGAATTCTCGGAGGTCCCAGGGAGCATTCTCAGAGGTCCTAGGTCATTGTGTACACGATGTTGCCAAAGCTTTTTTCGATGAGAGACCCGCGGAGATTCCTCCCAGTGTCGGAATCGAGGTTGGCGATGGCATGTGTTTTTTTTAGGAGTTCTCGGAGGTCCAGGGGAGCATTCTCGGAGGTCCTAGGTCATTTACGCGATCTTGCCAAAGCTTTTCTCGATTCGTGACCCGCGGAGATCTGCTCCTCGGAATCGAGACTAGCGGTGGCGTTTGGGTCCAGGAAGCTCTAGGAGGTCTCAGGGAATCTGTTTAGGAGCAGGTTCTGCACGCTGGCCGGATACTCGCTGTTTGGGGTCACAAAGGAATGCGTAGTGCGCGTCTGTTTAACTGACCCTCCCCCACTTCCTCCACAAGGCCTTCCCCCCAAGGGAAAGATAACATGCACGTAAACATGCGTCAGAGAAGTTATGTATCAACATGAGCGCTGTCGTTCAGGCTTGCATGCTGATCTCTGGGTCTACGGATACTGGAGCAGCCTGCATGCCTGATTCAGATCGCCTCTGACGCTATTATTTGGGTACATGAGATAGGCAAGTGGGGTGCTAAGCCACAAGGGCGCTGCTGTTCAGGCATGCATGCTGATCTCTGGGTCCACGGATACTGGAGCAGCTTGCATGCCTGAGTCAGATCGGTCCTGACGCTAACCTCTGGGTCTTAGGATTCTGGAGGCTCGTAGATTGCTGTTTGGGGTCTTGCGGGACAGACGGTTTTGTTTAGTTGCGTGGCTTTTGACGAAAGGCATGGCGAGCTAACAGTAACCCTCTTGGTAGATAATTGTTTTTAGATCCCCCCGACACGCAGGCGTTACCCATGTAGGCCATCCTTGGTGTTTCAGATGTTTTGTTGGTGCTTCATTCCGGAAATAACATGTTTTGATATGAGCAATTTCCTGTTTGTGGTCGAGCGCTTCAGCACCACATGTGAAAGGGTGTGTGCGCCGCATGTAACGCGTCTGTAGCAGTTGGCTCAAGGGGAGCGCTAGCCGAGAGGGTGCGCTGGCTTTCAGCACCATACGTGGTGCACGGGTGGTAGGTAGGATTGGAGGATGTGTAGGTTGCACCACATGTGGTGCACGTGTGTGCACATGCCAGGTCCCTAGTAGGTGTCTGCACTGGCATCTTTGTGTGCTCATGAATCATGCGCACGCGTTCGGCTCAAGTGAGTGCTTGTACTCATCTGCTTCTCTCCCTCGCTGTCCCTGACTGTCTCTGACTTCCGCTGTAGCCATGGCAAAGGCGATCGAAAATGGTAAGGCGCAGGTCGCTTCTGCAACCCACAAGAAAAATTGGTCCCAAAAAGACAAGGAAGATGATCTGAAGTACTTCTTGTTCAGTCTGGACATGGGGCAGTTGAGAGATGAGCACAACTTGTCCGAGAAACTGCGCTCTGACATAAAAAAGTGTTCAAGTGAAGAGGAGAAGGCAGACTTGCAGCAAAGGTATGAAACTGACAAGGAGAAAATCAGTGAACGAGTCAAGCCTC